AAGGATGTTCATGTGTCGGTGGGTTTCTTCTAGTTTTGTGTGTTTAATTATCACAAAGGTGTTGTCTACATATGGGACCCAAAGTTTTGGTTGTATAGTGGGGAGCGCTGTCTGTTCTAATCTTTGCATTACAGCTTCTGCAATCAGTTCTGATATTGGGAATCTCAGTGGTGTTCCATTGGTTTGTTTGTATATGTTGTTGAAGGTGAAGTGGGTTGTGAGGCACAGATCTAGTCATTTCATGGTGGTGTCCTTATTGATGTTGGTCTCCTGGATTGCCTGCCTACTTGGTTTGTTCCAGCAGTGTGGCAATTGTCTGTTTGGCTAAGTCGACGTTTATGGATGTAAAGAGTGCTATGTGGAAGGATATCATCATCTCGTCCTCTTCTATCCTGGTGTCCTTGATGATGTTGAGGAATTCTTGGGATGAGTGGATGGAGTGGGTGGTGTTGTCCACTCAGTATTTCAATTTCTATTGTAGTTCTTTGGCAAGTCTATATGTTGGTGTGCCTGGTAGTGAGACAATAGATCTGAGGGGTCCCCCGGTTTGCATACATTGGGGAGTCTGTAGAGTTGGGGTGTGTTGGATCCCTCTGGCTTCATTTTTTGGTAGTCTGTCTTGCTGATGTCTCCCGAGTTCTGTAATTTCTTCTGTTGTGATCCGGTTTCCTAACTGTGGTGTCGGGTTAGTAGTGCGTTAGCTTTCTCGATGTATTGGGCTCTATTGAGGATTACTATCATGTGTCCTTTGTCTACTGGTAAGATTACAATATTCCTGTCTTTCTTGAGTCATTCCAGGGCTTTCCTTCCTTCTGTGTTGAATGTGTTCCACTTTCCTTTTTTGCTCACTGATGGGACTGTTGTCTGTCTAATGATCTGTTGTACTTCTTCCATGAGTCCGTTGTTCCTTAGTGTTGATTCCAGCGCAGCAGGAAGTCAGTCTTTTTGGCATCTCTTAGTTATAATTCAGTCCGGGTACTAGAATAGTCTTCCCAGTGTCTGTAAGTGGTCGGTCCAAGATGTTTTTAATCCATGAATCTGTGTTGGCCGTGTCGTTGATGTGGTGACTTTCTTTTCTATTCTTAATTCTGGTCTTTTGTTGTTGTATGCTGGTGGCGTGTTCCAGTATGGATGTCGATTCCTGGTCGGCCGCGTTGGAGTACAGAGTTTTTTTTGGTGCGCATATTGCTTCAGGTTACCGCATCTCGGTTATTCATGTACGTTGGAAACAATAAGGGGCTCATATTGAGTCTTGTCACACTCCATTCAGTCTTCCATTCCCAAACAACCAGTCATTACTCTAATAAGAATTGTTTTCTTTTGCCCAATTCCTAAACAAAAGCTTTTTGAAATTCAAATTATCCCACAACATCTGATATCCATCCTTGAAGAGACTTCCTCATGAGCCACAGACAATGATCTATATGATGGTCATCCAAAGCTATGTCAACAAGTACATTCTAGTTTCATTCGGATTCAGGTCTACATTGTTCTTGGTGGGCCATATCATGAATTTTTTCAGGCATTGATATTAAACTGATAAGTGTATGTTGCCCCCCTTTCTTGACTAGATTAGCAGGTTTTTAATCTAGGGACATCGCTCTGACATTCATCAATAAATTGTGCAATATTTAACAGCAACAAAAACAAAAATTGTTGGAAAAGCTCAGCAGGTCTGGCAGCATCTGTGAAAAGAAAATCAGAGTTAACGTTTTGGGTCTGGTGACCCTTCCTCAGAACAATATTTAATACAGGTACAACATTTAAACTTAATTTGTTTTTAGAGTTCCCTACAAACAATTTCTATTATTCTACAACATTCTGTATCTGAAAGAAAACAAATAGAGCAGTGTTCACTGTTTAATCAGTTGCTGACCTATCAGGTAAATACTTTGGCTGAGCTATTTTTAAGTCTAATGAAAATTTATTCAGAATACTTTCTCCATGATCTTACTGGGTTCTGCCCTGTGTTCACTGACCACTAATACCTCCCCCATATGCTTAACAGAGTGTGTTTGAGGTTTATTTTGCCAAGAAAGACAAAGCAGCCGAAACTGCGCCCATCATCATTAAGCAGGTTTTAGTATGTTAATGCTTTTTGTGTCTGGACTTAGTACATTTTGTGCAAAGTTCAGTTGCCACAGTTCAGTTACATTCAACACTGACTCAACTAACTCCCAAGCAATTGGTCTGAAGAATTAATTGCTGCTAACTGAAAATTTGGGATCTTTTGAGGGTATTCTGCAAGGTATTGTTGATTGAATCCAAATATGTGCTGCGGCCTTTCCAAAATAGATTTCTAGACCAGGTGGCGCCATTTGGAGATCCAAGTTAGCTGCTGTATGTTGCACTCAACTGAGAAAATTCCTCATCTAATGTTAAACAGTAATCTTGTCATCCCCAATGATTTGGCTTTCAAAAGTCCAGTTAACTTACTTATTGAATTGATTAAGTTTAAATAATCAAGCACCAAATGAAAAATGTCAAACTGAGGCACGACCCTACAACATGTTAATAACTGAGTTTTATTTCCAATGAAAGATAGAAAAGAAGTGAAAGAAGATTTCTTTTAATAATTTGAAGAACCAAATCATGAGTTCTGCTGTTTTCTATCTCTGAGAAAATCGGAGAAATTACACTAAATTCATACATTGTATTGACTTTCCAACTGTTGCTGTAAGCTGTCATCGTATTTCTTTTGTCTCTTTCTTGTTAAAATCTCCTTTAAATGTTTCTGCAGTCGCTACCTCAATACTTGCATGAGTATTATTTTTCTGGCATTTATGCAGTGAAGGCTTTAGTTTATATTTACCATTGAATGTGAAATCGTTACTACATTTGTGAATTAAAAAACTGTGTGGTGCTGATGTTTGATAATTCGACAAGATTCACATTTTCACCAAGAGAAGACCAGCAGTTTGACAGCTTTGGTTGCCATATTTTAATTGAAAACATTGTACTGGTTACTTTTGTAGTTGTAATGCATGTGTAGAAATTTTCTCCAAATTAAATATTGGGAGAACTAAAGCCATTGATTTCAGGCCCCTCTCCAAATCCTGTTTCCTAGCTATGACTCCATCACTTTCACTGGCAACAGTTAGAATCAGTCTGTTGGCAACCTTGGTGTCACATTTGATGCTGAAATGATCTTTCAATTTTATTTGCACCATCTCTAAGAGTGTCTATTCCCACCTCCATAACATCAACCAACTTGCCCCAGTTCATTTCATCTCCTGAAACTCTCGCTCGTGCATTGGTTAGCTCTAGACTCCACTATCTCAGTGAAATCCTGGCTTGTTTTCCATATTCACTTTTCCGAAAACTTATCTCCTATATTCTCACTTACATAAACTCCATAGGCTTGCAGTCATCCAAAGCCTGTGCCCTAGCTCAGAGCAAGATCTGTTCTCTTATCGATCCTGAATTCACTGACCTGCATAGATTCCCAGATGAGCATTTTAAAATGATCATCTTTTATGTATGCCTGCATGACATTGCACCTGCCTGTCTCTACAAATTGCTTCAGCCCACAATCTTCCATGATATCTGTACTCTAATTCTGCTCTCTTGATCATCCCTGATTTTTGTTTTTTTACCACTGGTGGCTGTGTTTAGCTGCAAAGGCTTTAAGCTCTAGAATGCATTCCATAAATCTCTCCATCTCTCCACCCCTCACTCCTCCTCAAAATCTACCTGTTTGTTGAAATTTTGCTCATCTGACCTTTATATCTCCTTAAATGGCTTGCTGTCATATTTTGTTTAATGACTCCTGTGAAGTGTCCTGGGATGTTCCATTACCGTAAAGGTGTTATGAAAGTATAACTGTCGCAGTGTATGTGATATATATTTCACAGCATCAGTGATTTCTTACCTTGATATTTCTCAGGTGCTCTGTTTTGCCACTGCAAATTTACATTGGAAGAGTTTCATCCTTTTTGTGCTGGTGTGTTGTTTAAACCATAGTATGAATACTTGGTCACACGATCATGTTTCCAGTTGAGCAGTTAGACATTTGGAGGCCTAAGTGACAACGAAAATATAACATGTCCTCTATTCCAGCACAAAACATGTTGACAGATTCACTGCCATTATTAGAGGAGAGGTAATATATAAGTGCTGATTTTTAAACATGCATTGACAGCCAAAAACACTAATCTTACTTCGCTTGTTTGCAAAAACCATGCAGGTATGATTTCTAACAGGGTTGCTAGTAGAGGACACAAAGCTATTTGTATTGCTGGACTAACTACCAGGGAAAGCAATTCATTCTGACAGATTTCTGAAGATTAGCAGTTGAGGGTGCTAGAGGGCAGCATCTCTGTGAAATACACATCCTTTCTAGACCTAATGCACTTCTGTTCCAAAATCCTTCTCTACAAACTTGCACTGGAAGAGATCATGTGTTTCCATTTCAAATACCTAAGAACTGGAGTTGCCTGCCACAAGTTCCTAACTTTTATCTTTTCCTCCCTTTGTGGTTAGCAACTTCAAAGTACTCATCCAGATAATTTTTAAAAGTTGTGAGTGTATCTGCCTCCACTATCCTCTCAGGCAGCACATTCCATATTTCTACCACCCTCTGGGTGAAAAATCTCCGCCTATCTCCTGTGAACCACTTGCTCCTTACCTTAAACTTAAGCTCTCTGGTCATAGACACATCTGCCATGGGAAAGAGATTCTCACAATCTACAGTCTATGCCTCTCATAATTTTATATACCTCAATCAGATGCCCCCCTCAGCCTCCTGTGTTCCAGGGCAAACAAACCTTCCAGCAATTTCTGTTTTTGTTTCTTATTTCCAACATCCCCAGTTCTTTTGGTTTTTAGTTCCTGACATTCTATAATAATGGGCTTTGAAACAAGAGTACTGTAGCTGCTACAGTTCATGAATAGTGCTTTTGGTAAGAGGGAAACTCATGAACTGAAGTGAGGACAATTCTCAGGAAAATAATGCAAGTATTGTAAAGGATCTGTTCTAATGAGATTGTTTCTTTTTTTAGAAAAGCTTGCTGAGGCTCAGCGTAGATTTGCTACACTTCAGAATGAGCTGCAGTCAACACTTGAGGTGCAGATGGACCGCAATGCAGTTTCTAACTTACGCCAAAGGAGGACTGTGTTCCCACTCTCCCATAAGGAGCGTGTGCATCATAGGAACATTCGTGACCTGAAGTTAGCTTTCAGTGAGTTCTACCTCAGCCTGATCCTGCTCCAAAACTACCAGGTAAGAAAGGCCTGCTAATCCTGCTGTGTGCAGTCTCAATGTAATTTTAAAACTGCAACTATTTTTTTTAGTTGTGGATTTCTTCTGACGGCGAACAGGTAGAAATATATCATGGTACATTTCTGTTGCACAAGCTCAGCTTCGACACGTGTATTGACAGTACTTAGATTGTAAACGAGTCTGGAGTCTTTACATCATTCGTGTTGCCATTGTGCTGATGGAAGATGACCTTTTGACTTTGTGGCACTTTAGCTATGGGTTTGTTCTGTTTCCAAAAGACCAGAATGTAGGAACAATAGTAGACTTTCAATCTTGCTGGTCTGTTCTGCCATTCAGTTTGATCATTATAACTCCATCCATTCAGCTTGATTACATGAACCATAATAGTCTGTCCCAAAAATTAAGCTCTGTTTTTAAAATTATCATTGACATAATGTAAGGTCAATATTTAGACAGCCTTTTGTGATATTTCATAACGTCATTCCAGAAAAGTCTGCTCAAATTTTTAGCCTCTAACCTTTAGCTCAATAACCTGATAAATAATTTCCCCAGAAAATTAATATAACACCACATTATCCTCTGCCCACTGCCTAATCTCCCCTTCAAAAATTCAATCAGGTTTCTCAAGCACGGCCTACCTTTTTACAAATCCATGCTGGTTCTCTCTGATCAATTGAAAATGTTCAAGTTGTCTTCATTTATAGACTCCAGTAATTTTCTGACAACAATTATTAGGTTATAACTGTTCTTTAATTCCCTTGCTTTCTTTTTCACCTCTTCTTAACTAGTGGAGTGGCATATGAAATGTCCTATGTAAAAGAGCAGTTCCTGAATTGAATGAACTTTTGAAGGTTATGGTTAGACAATCTGCAATATTCTCATCTATTCCCTTTAAAACCTTGGGTTGAAAATTATCTGGTCCTGTAGACTGTTGTTCTTTGGTGCCTTTATCTTTCTCATTGTTCTTATTTGCTTATATTAATTTGATGGGGTGTTATCCCTGATTTTGATAAGTTCCTTAGGGTATCCATCATGTTATCCTCTTCCTGAACCATAAATACTAATACAAAATCAATTCAATATGTCTGCCATTTCTCACTTTAATTGAGTCTTCAAGGGATCCACTTTGAGCACAACCCACCATATTATTCTCTAACAGTGTAAACTCTTTTGTGTTAGTTTTGATATTCTGTACCTCTTCAGGTTGTCCATGATAGTTTGTTTTGGAGGTAATACTCTTCAGCCAGCAAAAAAAAAGGGCCTCTATCACATTAACTCCATTTTTGTATATCTCCTACTGATCTGCTATCTCTTTTCCTGGTATTACTCATAAACAGACTTACCCAGTTCTACCGTGAACAGTTCCGTTGAAGTCATCTTGTGTATATTTAAAATATAAGGAGATTGAAATAGTTAGCAATCAGAATTTTCTTCCGTTTTTTAACCAGGCATGGCACTACACCAAAACAAAATGAAATCAGCATAATTACTCTGAGTGCCAAAATGGCCAATGAGATGGTTACTGGACCACGCACCCATGCAGATGGGGCCAAAGATGTCAGCTAGCTGCAGCAGGTTCAGCTCCCACAATCCCCTGAAACTGGAATAGCCTCAATTTATGATGTGAGCAGTGCAGTGCCCTGGGTGAAATCATCTGAGCATGTGTAGGCCTATAGCCCCAGTTGAAGTGCAGTTTTTATTTTATTTCTCAGCTACTTGCAAGACATCCAATCGCTTTCCTGATCAAGTAGGTGAGACTTGCACTTATTACAATCATTATAAAAATTTCTATCACTTCCAAGCGATGTTAGCTTCCTGTTTGCACATGCACACTCTTTGTGCTGCTTACAAGTGGCATTTGAAACTAGTGCAGCTGTCAAAGATATATTTATTTCATACAATCAGTCTTTACTCAACTTTATTATGGTCACACAATTCTTCTTTGAGATCTTTCCCTTCTGTCTGATGTCTTGTAACTGCAGAGCTGAAAATGTGCTTTTTATTAAGAGTTTCTATTTCACTGAGAGATCTGGGCCAATCCACATCCAATAATCTACCCTGAAAACCTTGCTCACAGTTTGTCAGCTATCAAAACTTACCCACAGTAGCTCAGCCAATCCACACTATTCAAAAGCAGTCAACAAATTCTAAATATGATAATCCATTACATTTTTAAGAAAAAAGGATATTCACCCCATCTCTCAACATCAAATTGATCCTTTAAAAAAAGAAATCCCAGGATCTGGATCTGCATCACTGATTAAAAATAACTAATCCGTTCTTCTGTAAGCTGTAGCCTATCTGTGTTTTATTGAAACTCAAACCATTAGTTTTTGAAATATATTGTTTATATGGACAGCAAACATTACAAAAATATTACCTCTATCATGTAGTAATTTTTGCATCACTTCATCTGTTGAACTGAGGAGCTTCAGGGTGAAGTTTGGTATCTAACTAAGTTGCAAACTTTTGGAACCTGGTACAGCAAGAGGGAGTGATAGAATAAGTTTTTTTTCAGGATACGGTAAGTCTGTAGAGCACGTTCATGAAAGGAGTACATTCTCAGATGTAATGAATGCAGTTGGCATGATAAAATTGAATAAGAAATAGTGTGATGAACAGAGGAGCCTGGAGAAGAGAAGAATTGCAGAAGACGACTGACTTTATTTTTGTCCAGCAACGACAGGTTGAGACAAAACTGAGGAGCAGTGTTTAAGTTGTGGATAGGATTGGGTGTTATAGAGAATTGAACAATGTCTGAGCCATCTCTAGAGGGTCTGGGGCAATCCAAATAGTACAGGTTCCCCTTCTACAGGTCAAAACTCGCTGTGCAGTTCCTTTGCATTAGTGATGCTTTTTCGCCTTCAACTGAAACCTGAAATGAAAAATCACATTTTGCCACTCCCCTATTCAGAGGTCACCTGATCCTGGCATCTGGTTCCTCTTCAGTGTCTGAGGTCCAAGCGTGCGGCTCAGGAGGTTGTCTTGATTCACCCTTCCCTGGGAATTATTCTGATCATTGTACAGGATACCAGAAATGCTTACTACTGTGACCCCCTTAGCTTACGAACCTGACACATAATTGACCAACAGTGAAATTTCTCATGATACTTTGCTACAAATCTTGTTAATTCAGTAATATAGTTAGTTATTCAACAATTAAGGATGGAGTTACATCTTCAAAGCTAGTTTTCTAATTTTTTTAATCCTGCTTGCTTTAAGTGTAAAGTTTACAATTACATTGATTATTTGTATCTTTCTGAATGGGTACTTTTTGCTTGGAATTGCTTCATCGGTGTATCATATGGCCAGAATCTGTAGCCATTGCAGAATTGTCTCTGAGCAAACAGATAACACAAGTGCCCAGAGACATTGATTACAAAGCTAGCATCAACATACCAATTGATTAGTCAATATTCTGTAATAAAAAGATTAACATGCTGAAGAAACTCAGCAAGTCTGGCAGTATCTGCGAAGAGAGAAGCAGAGCCAATATTTTCAGTCCAATGGAGTTCTGAAGGTTTGACACATTATTTCTGTTTCTCTCTCCGCTGATGCTGCTAGACCTTAGTTTCTGCAGAATTTTCTCTTTTTTTTCCAGATTTTAGTTTTAATTGATGTTCTGTACTAATAATCTGACTGCATACCAGCATCATAATCTTACTTTGTGCAGCCACATTCCACAGAGATGCAACTTATATTGTTGTCCAGGGTCCTAGCCTGCAAAGTGACACCAAGTGGTGCTCTGTCACTGATTAAAGTATTTTGCAATTTACATATAACCATATGAACAGCTGAATTGTATTCATGGAATTATACACATTATATCGCTGAATGTATTGGCATTGTGTTGTGGTAGCAAGCTGTTGAAATGGCCATACTTCAGTCGCACACATTATCGTGCCTTACTGCGAGCAACTGCATTATTATTTCAAAAAAGATGTTTAAAAAATTAAAATGTTCCAGAAAGCCTTCAACATTTCAACATAAAATTCAGTTTTTGAGTGAGAATGAATAGAATGTGCTTGCTCTTATAACATATGGTAACTATCTTAAAATAGCAGAGCTCACTGAGTTCTTTGGGATTGAACTTGTGGAATACTTCCAACATCTTACAAAGTACACAGAATTATATCCAAGGAATCCATTGATAGGTAATTCCTACAACAATAGCAACTTGCATCCATCACTGTCCTTGTCATAGTAAATTGTCCCAAACACTTCACAGAAATGCTGTCTGACTATATTTTGCACTAAGCCACGAGATACTGTGGCAGGTTAGTTGATCAAAGAGTTGGGTTTCGATGAGTATCTTGGAGGAGGAGACAGGTAGAAAGATGGAGGAGTTTAGAAAGGGAATTCAACAGTTTAGTCACTCGGCAGGTGAGGACACACCCAATGATGCGAGTGTGATGCAAATTAAGGATACATGAGAGACCAGACTTGGAGAACTCAGAAACCTTAAAAGATTTGCAGGAATAGAGGAGATTTCAGAGCTGGGAAGGACGGCAACCATGAACTGATTTGAAAACCAGGTTGAGAATTTTTAACTTCGAGATGTTGCTAATTTGGAAATCCATGCGGTGCAGCAAGTACAGGGATGATGGTTGAACTTAGCATCGGTTGGAATTTGGGCAGCAGAATTTTGAATAAACTGAAATCCAGAAGAAAAGCATGGTGGGAGGCTGGTCAAAGAACATTGGGATAGCTGAATCTGGAAATAACATAGGCATAGATGACAGTTTCAACAGCAGTTGAACTGAGAATGATACCAGGGTGTCTTGGTAATGGAGAGTACATGGGATCAGAAGCTCAGCTCAGTGCAACATAGGACAGCAAGATTACAAACAGTTTGGTTCAGCCTTAGAATGACGAAGGTCCTGGATGGTGTCATGAACTAGCAAAGAGAGTTTGCGAAAGGAAATGAAGTCAATGGCTTTAGTATTGTTAAATTTTTAGTTGAAGAAGATTTTGCCTATCTAGTGCTTGAAGCTGAATGA